CGCGCGTCTGAGCTGCCTCTGCCCCTGCTGAAACACCTGCCCAGGCCTACTCAGAGCCAAGTGCTTCCACTCCAACAGATCTCCAAGAGAACTCATAAAGTTTAAGACCATTTGTGACATCTCTATTCCCACCAGGCTGGTTTATAACAACGAAGATCATAGAACTCCAGAGTGGTTTGGGTTGGAAAGGACCTTAAAGCTCCTCCAGCCCCAACCCCTGCCACGGGCAGGGACACCTTCCACTAGAGCAGGTTGCTCCAAGCCCCTGTGTCCAACCTGGCCTTGAACACTGCCAGGGATGGGGCAGCCACAGCTTCTCTGGGCACCCTGTGCCAGCGCCTCAGCACCCTCCCAGGGAAGAGCTTCTGCCTTAGATCTACCCTGAACTTGCCCTGTTTCAGTTTAAACCCATCACCCCTTGTCAGGTCAAAGGAGTCGCTTTTTCCATGGGCAGGGCACTCCCAGGTGAAGCAAGTTCCCTGAGGAGCAGCACCCAAGTGCTCACAGGTCACACGTGGCCACTGCTTTCCATGAAGCAGCACATACCTATTTCTCCTCCATGGTGCTGGCAGTGAGGAGCAGCTCACCAGTGGCACAGCACGTCCCACAAAGCAGGGCTTTATGGAATCGATACCCCTCATTTCACACAAACCCCCATTCTGCAAAACCCAACCTGGGGAAAAATCCCCGTCACCCGTGTGCAGGCGCGTTTCTGTCACGCTCAGGGGCACAGAAAACAAGACGTATTTGGGATAATATGCATTTCTCTGATACAAATGTTGTTACAAAATATGGAATGATTCACATGAACAGGGCAGGGAGGCCACGGCATAAAGCTTTCCTGAACAAGATTGCCACCATCTCCTTCATACCCTCTAACATCATGAAAAGATCACTTTTTTGACAATAAACTAGGGGATTTATGTTACTCTATCTATAAAACTCCTTTGGGAATGCTTGAGCAGGATGGGTTTAACCTCCTGCCACAGCACCCAGGCAAAATCGGAAGCCTTAAGTGCCAGGACTTAAGGAGATTAAGGTTGTGCTGCTCCTTTTCAAGTGTCAGAGTCTGAGTGACGGATGCAAGAGGCCCATCCCTGGATTCCACAAGCTTCATTCTTGCACAGCCCATGGTACCCATGGAGCTGAACCTACAAAACCTGTCCTGGATGACGCCCCCAGCAGCTCAAGGTTATAGCCCCACACTCAGCAGCACAGACATATGGGCCTGGACCTTACTGCATGGTCAATGCCTTGTCCCACCTCCCCAGACAGCACGTGGGTCCAGGTCTCCCGTCTACAGCTCTTCTGTTGTAATAACACGATGGATATTAACGTCTTCCTCAATCCAAGTGGACTTTGCTGGAGTTAATTCAATTTCCTGGCAGGAAATCTCCCATCCTGCAGGAGCCACTGTCTGCACCCGAGCACAACAAATGGGGAAGTACAGACAAGGAGCCCTCGAAGCAGTGACCACTGAAGGCCACGCCACCACGGGAGTTGTAAGGAAGGGGATACTGGGCGCTCCGTCTGGGAGCCAGGATACTGCCTCTGTGCTCTCTGGGGAATCCCTGCTGGGCTACAGACACCAGCAGTGAGAAGAACCACCTTACAAGAGCTGCCTTTAGACAACTGCTCCTTATAGTGCAGCTAAAACACCCCTCATCTTCCCAAACAGGTTTGCCCTAATCCCAGGGGAAGAAGGCGCAGGAAAACCTCTCTGTAGGATGGACTCACACATGCTACAGGTGCCACCCTTGCAAACGCCAAAGCCCGAAGTATTCATCATCATGGCTTTTGAGCTGATGCTAGCACAGGAGCAGCAGGTTCTCCTCCCTTCCCAGACTGCCTGTCCCGCTGTGCGAGGTAATACCAGGGCATGAAAGAAAAACAAGACCAGCAGCAGCTCGGCCTCAAAGCCCAGCCACAAGGCACTATCTGCTGCTTTGATTTGTAATTTGCCTCCAAGAGGTTCTAGATGGCACCTAGTGACCATCTCCACCTTAAAGCAGGGCCCAAAACACTCTCAAGCCTTCATGAAGATCGTAGAATCACAGAGTGGTTTGTGTTGAAGGGACCTTAAAGCTCCTCCAGCTCCAACCCCTGCCAGGGGCAGGGACACCTTCCACTAGAGCAGGTTGCTCCAAGCCCCTGTGTCCAACCTGGCCTTGAACACTGCCAGGGATGGGGCAGCCACAGCTTCTCTGGGCACCCTGTGCCAGCGCCTCAGCACCCTCACAGGGAAAAGGTGCTGCCCCTGAGCTCACCTCAATCTCCCCTCTGGCAGGTTCAAGCCATTCCCCTTGTCCTGTCCCTCCATCCCTTGTCCAAAGCCCCTCTCCAGGTTTCCTGTAGGCACAGATGTGCACAGCTGCACACACAGAGCCCAGCACTCCACAGCCACCTACCACCACATAGACAGCCTTCTCACAGGCTGTGCCCACGGGGATCCAGCCGTTGGTAGCTCTTCTCCTGCTGATGCGCTGCTGCTTTGGGTGGGAATGGCCTCCTGCTGCTTTGCTGTCCGCGGCGTGGAGACAGCCCGGAGTATTCCGGAGCCCGGATTTGGAGCCGCTGGGAGGCTTTGAGCTCTGTGGACATTCTCGGGCCATGGTCTGAGGGTCAGAGTTAGGGGTCTGCAGATGAGGAACGGGTTCTGCAGCTGGTGGCACGCTGGGTACAGGGCATCCTGAGAGCGGGTGGGCAGGTGACGCGGGGTGCCCTGCCACAGGGATTGTGAGGTTCAGCTGGTCCAGAGACTTGCAGCCTTCTGACAGGAGGGAAGAAAAGAGACATGGATTTCATCTGAAATACAGGACAACTGCACAGTCAAGAGTGTCCCAAAACACCACCGCTTTCACCCGAAATGCACAGAATCCCACAGTGGTTTGTGTTGAAGGGACCTCAAAGCTCCTCCAGCTCCAACCCCTGCCCCGGGCAGGGACACCTTCCACTAGAGCAGGTTGATCCAAGCCCCTGTGTCCAACCTGCA